TACAAGTTAACTAGAGCATCCTACCAGTTCCGCTGACTTGGAACCCCAATAACACACTGAAAACTCATCAAGAGCCTAACGACCAGCCACCAGTCAGAGAGAGAGTGTGGCAAACATGGCTCCCTTATATCCCCCCAAAAGTCCCAGAATGCCTGCTTAGCTCTGCCCTTGGGTCTTCGCATTTCTCTCTTTGGTATTGCTGGGAGTTGTAGTTTACTGGAGAAGGGAGTGGAGTCCAGAAAACTGGAGTAGGGGGTGGAGCCCACAAAACTCTGCAGGGTTCCTTCAGGATCCTTTCCCCCTAACAATTCTACAAGAATTGAACGCTGGGCTCTCTCTGGTGGCACAGCGGGTTGAAGCACACCACTGGGAAGCTGGAACTACTTCCGCATGAGTTCGATTCCCGCCTGCCCTGGAGGTGGCCACATGGCGCGACAGACAGATCTCTCCTGACCCGCCCGCTGCTCCCCTCAGCAGTGTACACTGTCGATCTGCCTGTTCTGCTCCCCACTCTGTCTCTGGTGAGTCCTCTCACCGTCCCCGCACCTCTGTACCCCAGTTCTGTATTAACAAATAAATAAATATTTAAAAAAAAAAAAAAAAGAATTGAACACTCTTTCCGTGGGACCGAGGATGGCTTCATTAACAAAGAATGGACAGGACTCCACCCCGAACTCCCGGAAAGGGCCATGTCAGCTCTGCATCTCCCAGGCCCAGCTGGAGATGCCACTGTGCAGTCAGAGCTGGTCACTTCTTCTTTAGAACAGCTGCTGGACTCATGGGCCTGGGTTCAAGTCCAGAAGACACAGAGAGTCATCTAGTCCAGGCCTACTGTCTGGTTGTCTTTGTTTTCTCATCCATACGTAGGGAATCAGAACCACTCAACAGGATAGTTTTAGGTCGAAAAGAGTTAAATGAAATAATGCAGTAAACAACAAGCAGGCAGTAGGTGCTGTTTCAATGGCTAACCCTCTGAAGCTTCACCATAAATAGAAATAGTAAAAGTATTTGCCTTCTCTTTTTGACTCACTGCCAGTGATTTTTCTCCAACAACTTGGAATTCTTGTGTCTGTGACCCTTGTTAGGCTTAGAGTGAAGTTCTGAAAGACAGCCACAGAACACTGACCAAACAAAGAGCATTAACAAAGGTCCTCCACCAGGTTGCGTGGAAAGAGTCTTCTATGTTCAAATGGTGTACACTCATTCTCCAAGTGACTATCTAAGCTGCCTACTGAGCTGAAATCTGGCTTTAGATCCTATAACTGAAAGGATATCATCACGGGTTCCCACTCTATGCACCCAAAGCTGCAACATTTGGCCAGCAGCAGATGTTTGTGCTCTTCTGTTGAGGCAGAGTTTTTAAAATACAAACTTCAAAGGTATTTCTATTTCTATCAGGGCAGATGTAATGGATTTTTATAGGCATTGTAACATTTGGTGTCTTCATACTCCCTTTCTTTTTCAATAATCCTTCAATTTTATTCCATTAAAAAGGTTTTTAAAGTTACTGTTGTGAGAGTCTGTGTGTGTGTATCTGTGTATCCATGTGTGTATCTGTGTCTGTGTGTGCCTCTGTGTAACTCTGTGTGTGTAACTTTGTGTGTGCATCTGTGAGTGTGTCATGTGTGTATTTCTGTGTATGCCTGTGTGTCCGTGTGGATATCCACGGTGTTCGTCATGTGTATCTCTGTGTATCTGTGTGTCCATGGGTGTGTCTGTGTGTATAGCTGTTTGTCTGTGTGGGTGTCATGTGTTTATCTCTGTGTGTGCATCTGTGAGTCCATGTGTATATATCGCTGTGACTTGTGTGTATCTTGGTATATCTGTGTTCATGCGTGTGTCTGTGTGTGTATCTGTGTTTCTGTGTGTGACCAGCTCCTCAGGGGGAAGACTGCGTGTGTGAGTTTGAGTCTGCCCCAGACAGGTATTCCGTATTTGTGTATGAATGAAATAGTATAGATAATTCCAGTCTTACAAGTGGACACTATTGCAAAGTTCATCTGTAAGTCAGTAGTTGGGAACTTGGAACATATTTTCTCATAAAGCAATAATTCTGCCTGGTGGCCAGAGCTCTGGCCAGCCCACAGAGCCTGCTGAACTCATCCTGCACCTGAAACAGGACTGCTGTTAACTCCAAAGAACAATGTTTCCATGGAAACACATTTTCAGAGCTCTACTGTTTAAGGTTGAGAATCAATGGATAGAACTTTTAAGTCATTTCCTAAGTTGCTTTTTCCCTTCAATAAATTACCAAGAAGAGAAGCTATTCATACCATGAATTACTTCTGGAATGTATTAGGTTAAAATAATATTTTTTTCTCCACTTGTTTTATGCACTTGGAGAATTTAGTAAAAGGGAGACACATGACAAGGAAAAGAGTTCTTTTAAACATTCTTGAACTCTTCAAATTTGCTTTCTTCCCTGTTCTGGCTCTTTGCAAGCCACAGCTGGTCAGCAACTGTCACTGGCTTTAAGTTTGTTTTTATATCAAAAATGTATGTTTGGCTTTTTTTTTTTAATTTTATATTTTCCTTTCCCTTAAGTTTTAAAAACTTGCCCTATAATTTAAAAGGAATCTAAAATAAGTAAGTAGTGAAACATACTCTTGATCACACTGACCACAGGAATCAGAAATGCCTCAAGTATACGTATATACACAGATTATGCTAGAAGTTGTATAAATATAATGCAGAATCATAGGGCTGGAAGGAAACTTAGCAGATTGTCTATTCCCTGGCTCCCAGACAAGCCAATCATTCCAAACAGATGAGCACTAACCCCTATTTTAGAGAAGGATGACTGGGTCTTTAACCCTTTCCAGGCGGAACACTTTCTTCGAAGGCATTCCTGAACACCTCAGTGTCTGACACTTGAGCTGCCTGGCTCTCTCTGGGTTATTCATGCTCGTCTCAGCAGCAGGAACTACACTTGATTTAATGTATTTAATGAGGCATCTGAGATCTGGGCAAAGTTTCTACACAGAGGAAAGCAAACCCGGAGACAGGCTCAAAGGAAAATCAAATTCAGTAATTATAATAAACGTAAAATAACAAGTTTATTTATGGTCACTTTCTTTCAGAAGTAAACAAGGCAGAGTTAGCTTTATCACATTAATCCAATAAGATAAGGAAATGACAGAGTATCTACCCCTGTTAAAGTTATTTCTAACAGGTGATACTCTGAAATGTCACCCAGTATAATTATTTTATTGAGAGCCTTCTACAGAACCTCCAAGAGATGATCTCAGAATACTTTTTTATCGATTGGTAGTGGACACTTAAACTTGGTCCACAGACTTTTGAGGGAGCCTCACAGGAATTTGCTCTCCATACTGTGGACGGCATGAAACAAGTATCTTTATAGCAAGTGCTCGTGGCTAGTCACGTTCTTAAAACAGCCCATTTGCTCCCAGAAAAAAGAAAAAGATGGGCTGTTGGAAATCCCCTTTTGTTTTTGAGGTTTTTCAGTGCCTCAGAGATGAGGTCTATGTTACAAAGAAGTGGACACGGATGGAAATTTCCACAATTACTGTCTCAATCACAGAGTAAACCACTTGTGGTTTTTTTAATTCCCCAAACCTAGGTACTCATTGGGTGGCGTGATGGTTCATTTTCCATGTCAACTCGATCGACACTGGATGCCCAGATGAAACATTTTTTCTGGGTGTGTGGAGGGTGTTTCAGAATGAGGTCAGCATTTGAATGAGTGGGTGCAGTAAAGCGGCTTCCTCCCCATTGAGGGTGGACATCACCAATCCACCCAATCACCTCCCGGCCTGAATGGAATAAATGGAAGAGGAAGGAAGAATTCTCCTCTTTGTTTCCTGCATCAATGATTGTATGAGGACACCTCATCTTATCTCCCCCTGCTCTATTCTAGGGTTTGCATCATCAGCTCATATAGATCTCAAGCTTCAGGCTTAGACCAAGTTACAGCACCTGCTTTCCCGAATCACCAGCTTGCAAACAGCAGCTCATGGGACTTCACAACTTCCATTATCATGCCGGCAATTCCTCATAATAAATCAGCCTCCCTTGATCTGTCTGTCTCTCTATCATCTATGATCCAGTCATTCATCCATCCATTTCTCTCTCTCTCTCCAGACACGCACCCACCCACCCCCATACATGTATGTTTGCACACACATATACAACATGTGTGCACATGGGCACATACTTACATCTCCATCCTACTGGTTCTGTTCTCTGGAGAAAACTGACTTAGATGCATGATTATTCATCCCTCCTCAGTAGCTAATGAGATGGATGCAATTTGGGGGACCAAGTTAACAAAGGTCTGTAAAATAATGCTGAGAACACTAGACCTAAACTTTCTACATTAGCAAAGCAGCTCAGTGGTGAGTGTGGACCCCATCTCTGTGTTAGCTTATGAAGTAGAATCCACCTTTGTATTTTCCTGGCAGGCGATGTCCCTTCTCTGCTGTAGCTCGCCACTCCTGTGGCCAGTTATATTAGGGCAGAATTGTTCCTGTGAAATGGAATCTGTTGCCACCACGGAATATGCCAAATATGCTTGCTTTGGAAGTCCAAGAGGCCCTGAGCTGACCACAGCAGGAAGTGAGTACCCTGTCAACCAATCACATCCCTGGCTCAAAGAGGGCTTTCTCTTTATTCTACCCACAGAGACTTAGCAAACTTGCTTGAACATGCAGAGGAAAACCATTAAAATTAAATTTTCTTACTTGTACTGTCAGGATAACAGCATTATCTATAATTCAGGGGTGTAACGATCTGAGATCTATGGTTGCTAATTTAGATAACAGATAGTGACAGTGTACACTGACCTTCATCTGTCTTCATAAAAGTAGCCCTGTGGGAAACTTCCCTCCAGAAACCTTAAGTTTCCTTCCACTCTGGCAAAAATACAGTATGAAATGGCAGCTCTGGTATTTATTCATGAGGAGTTTGAAAGAAGTTCTGTAAGGCATCCATTCATTACACAATTGAGTTGAAGCAATTCATAGACAAAGACAACTTACTTGTTCGTTTTTAGTAAGCCTGGTTTTGTTGTGAATGTCTGATGTGACTAAGTTGAATCCGTGCTTCTCCGACAAGATTCTCAGAAGCAAGACCACAGTGCGGCTCCCACACTTGCCTACTCTGTTGTACACCACCTGGCTCGGGAAAGGCAGCACCTGGGGAAGAGGGAGAGCAAAGGTGAGGCTTTGGTTCAGGTATTATCCTCGCGTCCCTCGGTCTTGGAACAATAAATGTTCGATTCATCTAGATAGGCAGGATCCGTCTTAAGTTAGTGAGAGAACAGAAGGGATGAACTCAGATTTGTCTTCAGAATAACTTCAGAGAAAAACATCACTATCCACCCTGAGACAGAAAACTGCTAACATTTCACACCATCTGTAAGATCAGTTATAATACTTGCTTTGTTTCTTCTTGGGAAACAACGTTTACAAATTTATAATTTATAAATATGAACTTTGATGAGAATACTCTTTCACAAGCTATGTTATGTTTTATTAGGACAACTTAATTGATAGCATTATCAAGTGAACATATAATAATGTTAAAATTGAGACATACACACGATAAAATTCGCTCTTAGGAAAGTGTACAATTCAATGGTTTTAGCACATTCACAAAGTGGTGAAGCCATCATCTTTCCCTAATGCCACACTGTTTTCATCACCCTCCAGAGCTCCGTATCCATTAGCCAGCCTTAGGGATCACTTTCCATCTCATTCTGTCTCTGTACCTTGACATCTTTCGTCTGCTTTCTGGCTCTAAGTTTTTCCTGTGGCTTTCAAGATACCTCCTATAAGTGGAATAATAAAATATGTATCCTTTTGTATGTGGTTTCTTTCACTTAGCATATTGGGTTGAAAATTAACCATGTGTAGTATGAGTCAATACTTTAAGTGTTTATGTCTGAATAATATTATATCACTTAGATATAGCAAGTTTTGTTTATACATTTTCCAGGGAAAGGACATTAGAATTATTTCTACTTCTTGGACCTTTTGGTTAGTGTGAATAATGCTGTTTTGTGATAGACCGGTAAGTTAATATGAGAAGCAACCGATTAAATATCTATATCCCCAACAAAGATTTTATTTTTATTTCAAATACTTAACCGTGAACAACCATTGACAAATGATAACTGCTTCTTCCTTTTGGGACTCATAGCAGAAGGACAAATAAAGGTCCACAGCTAAGGAATATCATACTGTTTAAACAGAAACATGTACCAACTTGCTTGTGGTATGTCATCTGAACTTTTTTTCACAGGTTTAGTTATTTTCCTAAGTTTTTATGTGCAGAGTAGCATTTCATAAATTTGGAGCTTAAGGCTTGTTATTGGAATAAAATAAATTGTGTTTATATCACTCACTGAACAAGTAGTCACGTGCCATGTTGATGTAATTCTTCAGGGTGTGTTTTCTGTTACTGGGTACCACCTTGCTTCTTCAGGGTCGGCCAGTATCTTCCATGTGTGACCTTACAGGGCCTAGAACATGCCTTGTGCACACAGCATCTTGGAAGACAAAGTCTAGTTTCTTGGCAGCTCTCAGTGACTTGATATGTGATTTAGCATTCATTAGTATAATGATTTGGCTAAAAAGACCAGGAGAATCCTTAAGTACAAGTGAGTTTTCTGACCAAATGGTAATAAAAAAAATATACAGGTAAGAAGATAGTAATTGAGACAGGTCAATTATTTATAGCTCAGTTGGTGAGTATCCCAAAAGTTGTACTCCAGCAATGATTGCAAAGGTTCAGCTAAATCATTCAGGTTCTTAAGTTACCAGATCATGACTCAGAAAGGTGGAACGAGGTTCATATTTAATGTCATGATAATAGTGCTTTTTGGAAGTTTCCATAATAACCAGGTTTTGGTAGCAACAACGTCCATGACAAAACAGCCAACTAAATACAAAGTTTGTTTATTTATTTATTTTTTTGAGAAATAAACTGCTCAAGAATTGGGGTGAATGCATTATTCCCCTGTCTTCTAGCATTGTATAGAACAGCAAGGGAGAATTGGTGACCCAGAAGATGTAAGCTGTGACATATGTAAGTACTTTACTACAAGAGTATAGATTTAAATGAAGAACTGAGGAACTTATACAGAAACAGTAGGTGAAAACACTTAATTTTGCTGAGCTTATTGGATAATCAACACATAGCAGGCTTAGTACCTCTGTGCTTCCTTTTTCTAGTACCTAAAGATGCTATTTACCTTTAGATGATTAGTTATTTTTAAAAAGTATCCCTTGCAATTCTTCCACTGATCTTGTAGGAAGCTCCCAATTAATGGTTTTAAATATTTGTTATTTAAAAGATGCATGTAAAAACAAAATCCCTGTGTCATTCCTGTAGCTGATCCACAATCATATTTGAAAAGAAAGGAGAGATTTAGATCCCACTGTGATTCATTTTTACCATTTCTTTAAAGATCATTCTGCAACCAGATCCACATTATTCCATATCTCAACAATATGTTTTCAGAGTTTTCTAAAATCAGCCTCGTAACATTTAAAGATGCAGCGCACACATCACAAACAGAAACCTGGGCTTTCAGATCATTTTCTAAACGTGCCTTTACAATACAGAGGACATTGACTAAGCTAATGGGTTGATTTGAAAAGATGATAAAATCAACAACAGCAACAAGCTGATTAATTTGTGATTTGGCAGAAAGAAGCATTCCAAAAGGTCTGCTTTAAACTCACTGTCATCTTTAACTTGAAGAGTAATTTCTGGAAAGATAGTGAGAAGGGATTTTTATGGAAGGCTCATCCTGACCTGCCTTAGGCTCTGGGCATAAAGTTTGCAATCCTTGTTAACAATACTGAGTCAAAGAGCCTAATTATCTTCATTCTAGCTGTGCATTTTCCTAGGAGTTTAAATTACCAAATAATGTAAACTTAATTAACAGCAAGTAAGTGACTCTCCCTGTGCACCCAGATCGTAGGTACAGCAAAGGGCCAGGTCTCGGTGCAGTTTTGAGACACTGACCCATCTCACTCCGCCTCTCCCCTCCCTACTTGGTCTCCATCACCCGCTCCCAATCTACTGTGTTTCACTTGCTGGAGCTTCCTTTCGTGGTCACCGCATCCTCCTACGAACCCAGTAAGGAAGACACCATGACTATTTTTAGATGATAAAACAGAGACTCAGAAGGAACCTCTGGCAACTTGAAGGTCACAAAGCTAAAAGGCAGTTTCACACAGTGCAAGGCGAGCTCTCTGCTTCCCTGGCCCCTAACACCATGAGACACCTCATATGCTGTGGCATCACAGAGTGAAAAAGATCTTTAGTTTGACATCTGCGACAGAGACACTATTTCCTTTTTTAAAGCCTGACCTCATTAAATGTTGATTTTTTTTTTTTGAACTATCAGCTATCACAGCCAGCCCCACTGGTTCTTACTCATCTACCAGCCAAGTCTCTAAAATGCTCAGGTGGAGCTGACAGGAGGCCATTAGCCTTTCTTCCTCCTTCCTAAGGACACATTCTAGAAGCTAATGGAAGCCTACATTAGCACAACAGCTAACAGGGAGAGAAGAGAAGGATGTAGTTTCTCCTTCATTCCTTCACCTCTCTTCTCAGATGCTCGGGTCCTATGGACCCCTTCCACCCGGAAAGGGGAAAAACAGGACATAGTAAGCCAGTATGAAATCCTAAATTCACTCGAAATGTCCATTAAGACAGGCGAATGCTCTCAAATGATCAACTTAATGATTATGAATGGGATTCCCCATTTTCTTTAAATTAACATTTTCTGTTGCCAGGCAGAAAACCATTCCCAACTTTATCTCCTATTATCACGTGTTCAAGAATTTTGAATAGTCACCCTTGATTTGGGTATCCTAAAAAGAAGTACACACGAATACCCCTCATCCAGAGAAAACCCCTTCTGCCCCCATGACTCTTGGTTCTTGGCAACTATGGTTATATGAATGTTATGTCTGTGGTTTCTATTTTATGGCCAATTTGTAAAAGTGAAGGGAGTTCCAAAATGTGTCACTGTGAGAATTATGTATTTATGGACGTTGTCTGCCTTGTCAGTTCTGCAAATGCCACAAATCCTCAAGGGCAGACAGGCTTGAACAGAGCATGCCAAATAAACAGAAGTCTCCAGAATGTGAGCGCAACGGTAATCACCACCAGATGACGTCCATGCTTTCCAGAGCTTAGCCATGACTTGAACTGGGGAGGGCAGAAAGAGACTTTCTAGGTAAAAAGCAAACTTGGTCTGGACCAAGACCTTCAACGTTTATAAGTCACTCTGGGGATGGGTCTTTTTGGAAGAATTAACTTTAATGCTACTTTTGAGTCTTTGCAAAATGATATCTAGTAGAGTTGGTAACAATAAGTGGCTCCCAAAGGTATAGGCGAGTTACCTACAGATCTTTAAAAAGTGCAGAGGGCTGGGCCTAAGAACTCTCAGATCAGCTGATCAACAGGAAGGCATAAGATCAACAGGAAGTGTAGGAGGAGGGTGGGGTCCAGTTCTAAGAACCCCTTCGGTTGCTACAAAGACTTGTTACTGTAGAGGACGCCTCGTTTTCTGTGTTAAGGGTTGAACAGTTCCATGCTGTCTCCGCAGGGTTGAAGGTAGGAGGGAAGGTCATCTGCTGGCAGCTGAGGGGCCTGCTGGAGGGGGTCTGGGTCAAAGCTACTGCTCTGTCTTCCTGAAGTGCCAATGGTCCCACAGTTAAAGGTCACCTTGAGCCTGACAAACTGCCTACTTAGCCATCATGGGCAGGTTAGCTGAGTGGGCAGGTTAACTGCAATTTACACTAAACACTGTCAATACATGGACTCAGTGCTAATGGTTTTCTTTGGTGAATTGAAATACCCATTGTGATTTCATAGCACCTCCATTTCATGGTCATTCAAGTCAAGGGAAGGCCAGGGCTTAGAAGGCCTGCCCTCAGGCCAGGGCTTAGAAGGCCTGCAGGCACAGCTTCTGTCACTTCAGGCAGCTCAAATCCATTCGGTGACTTTTGAGGTTTCCCAGGACACGGGGGTGCTAGAGGCTTGTCACCTCACCCTGTTGAGCCTCGATTCCTCATCAGTAAAAGGGAGGACTGGATTATAGGTCTGTAAGTGTTTTTTTCTGGAGTTACTCAGTGACTCACCTTAGGCTATTATTGTTAGCAAGCTAAAACCT